TGAGGACCCAATGAGGTGTGTGGCCAAGCAATTATTTGGGGCTAATGCAGAGATGTGGTCTGTGCTTGGTCTATAAAGGCAAGAAACAGGTTTCCTACCAGAGGATGTCCATTTATGCTGAAGACTGAACAGAAATTTTCTTGATGTGGGTAATGGAGCATCTGTCATAGTCAACATTGAGATAGAACTTCCAAACTGACCTTTCTGGATCAAAAGTGCTGGCAGCAGTGGTGCTGAAGGGTGTTTAAATTTAGTTTTTAATTCAGAAGATTAAGCTTAAGTAGCTTAAAAGTGAGAGAAAGCGTGGATAGAGTCAATATTTTTGTTTTGAAGGAAAGCTGAAAGTGTGGGTTTGTTTTCTGGTAGCATCAAAGGTCACACCTAGCTCAGCCTGGGTGCTTCTCATCTGGTTTACACTGAGAACCAGATTTATTGGGACTTTCGTGTTGTGATCTTGGGTGAATGTCTTTTACTGTCTCTTTGAGTCTTGAATCAGATATATCTCTGCAATAACAAGATATAGGTGTTATGCAAGGGGACTGTAACCTGGTGTACATGCACAGCAGTTTCCTTCCAGCTGGGCTGGAGAAGAGCTGGATGTGCTGTTCTGGGGCCAGACTCGGTGCTGGCAGTGGTGCAGTGCAGAGGAGTGAATTGAAGCCGGGAAATGCACAGGGAGATGCAGGACAGGAATTCCCAGAGGGTTCCCCAATCCCAGAGTGTGGCACTAGCATTGGAGCATGTCTCTCCATTGGGGGGAAATCCTGGAAATCCTGCTGGGGTGGGGGCCTCTCTATCAAATCCCTCCTTGACACCTCTGGTTTTGGTTGGTTGGGGTTTTTTTTGTTTATTTGGGGGTTTTTTTGGTTGTTTTTTTTTTTTTTTAGTTATCTTCCTGGCTTCCAGTCCTCCTGATAATGTGTTTATGAGCTGTTAATGTATCACCACAGAAACAACCCTACTTGTATTTTCCTTTTGGAACAAGGATTAGAAAACATCCCATATCCCTTTCTTTCTTTTTTTTTTTTTTACCCCACCTTTTGATTTCTTCTCTTTTTCCATCCTCCTCCTTATGACCTTTCTCCCCCCCCAACCCTACAGGGGTTCTCCTACAGGCCTGAACTCCACTGATTCATGAGTTTTTGTAGGGGCAGAGGAGCCTGAAGGCTGTAAACTTGTCTCTGGGTGCTGTGTGTTTTCCCAGAGAAGATCCTGGGGGTGGGAGGAGGCCTGGAAGTTGATAGGTGGTGTGAATACTAAAAGGAAATCCTTTTTTTTTTTTTTTAATTTCCTCTATTGGCGGATGGTTCATGGTCTGCATCCAGATCTGGGGTCCTCAGCATGGGAAAGACACGGGCCTGCTGTGGCAGGTCCAGAGGAGGCCACGGAGATGCTCCAAGGGCTGGAGCCCCTCTGCTCTGGAGCCAGGCTGGGAGAGCTGGGGGGGTTCAGCTGGAGAAGAAAAGGCTCCAGGGAGACCTGAGAGCCTCTTCCAGTGCCTAAAGGGGCTCCAGGAGAGCTGGAGAGGGACTTGGGACAAGGGGTGGAGGGACAGGACACAGGGAATGGCTTCCCACTGCCAGAGGGCAGGGTTAGGTGGGATATTGGGAAGGAATTGTTGTCTGTGAGGGTGGTAAGGCCCTGGCACAGGTTGCCCAGAGAAGCTGTGGCTGCCTCTGGATCCCTGGAAGTGTCCAAGGCCAGGTTGGACGGGGCTTGGAGCAACCTGTTCTAGTGGAAAGTGTCCCTGCCCTTGGGGTGGAACTGGATGGTCTTTGAGGTCCCTTCCAACCCAAACCATTCCGTGATTCTGTGATTCGTGTAATTATTCACTGGACTGCGGGTGGGTACTGAGGGCTTTTTAAAAAAAAGCACGTTGTTTTGCCCTACCTGCCCAGCCAAATCATCACAGAAATGCCTCGAGGAGAAAGGGAAATGGCATTCATAGTCAGCTGGGGGTCTGGTGAAAGACCGTATATCACGGGGTTGTCAGTGAAGTCACGACACTGGCAACACTGAACCAAGGGTTTTTTTGCTGGGGCTCGTGTTTTCTTGGCCTCGCTCAATAAAATAAAACCTGCCAAAGCTGCAGCAGCAGCAGCAGCAGCAGCAGCAAACCCCCGTCTATCTGTTCTCACACTCCCAGCCGCTTCTGCCTGAATTATTCATGTTTGGTAAGTGATCTGCAAACAGCTCCTGTGATCTCCCTGTGATCTGTGGGTATGCGGGACTCACCCCTGCTTAGGTCAGGGCATTTTCTTGTTTCCTTCCCCGAGGCATGGAGTCTGTGGGAATCTCCAGATTCCCTCCTTCTGATTAACCGGGCCCCGTGTGTTTATTATTTACGTGGTACGATTTGTTCAGCTGTCCCAGGCACATGGTATTATCAGTGGATAAGTAAGGAGACTCCCTGTGAACATCTGTAGTTGTTGCCCGACAAATCCTGTTGTATAAATAGTATTAGGGAGCTGCAGAGGCTCTTGTAGGGTAAATACCCTTGTGACTCAAGGCAGCACTGCCAGCCTCTCACCCAGCTTTTCACCTGCATGTGCATCTCAATAGAGGTTTACTGGGCTGTTTTTTATATGTATAAAACATATATATATGTTGAAGATGTGTATTTAAGATGTCCCAGCTCATTGCAAGGGGTTTGGACTAGATCACCGCCCTAGGTTGGTCTTCCAACTGGATTTTTTTTCAGTTTGTTTTTTTAGTTTAAAGGCCCCTTCCAACACAAATTATTCTGATTCTATGACTCCAAAATATATGTATGTATGTTTTGTGTAATTGCCTGTTTTCCACAAGCTCTTCTCTGTCTTTATTTCAAATTTTAATATTTTCTTCTGATTTGGGAATAGAAGGATGTTGGCAGAACTAGTGAGAGGGGCAGTTTATGGTCAGGTAATGGGCAGGTGTTCTGTGTGCTTTGCTATCCACGTCATTAATGAAATGGGCTGTGTGCCTCTTCCAACACACCTACCCCAGGTACATCTTGGATCTGCCCCTACAGTGTCATCTACTTGATCCCAGCATAATGCAATAAACCACTCTGTATTTTGGGATGCGGACTGGAATGCTTCGGGAACCCATTTCCAAGTGGAGCTGATGATCTGAGCTCTGACTCCCAGGTCCCCTGCCTCAGCTGAAGGAGTAGCCTCTGGTGAAAAAAGTGTCGTTTTATGTTACCTGCTTCTGTATACTAACCCTGAGGAAGACCTGTGCCTTTCCTAGGATATCCCTCATCTATGGCATCACTGGGATACAGCAGTGAGTTTGTTAAAATGTCCTGTCTCTCTGCATTCTGGAAAGAGGATTTTCTATTAAACCTTAGGGAAATTACTGGCCTTGTTAACTAGTGTAGAAGTAATGAACCACAGCAGGGTGGCTCGAGAGATTTGGGCCCTCGCTTTGTAAGGCTGCATTGTTTCTTCAAATGAGAGAAATAATTTAAGCAAACAAACGAACAAAGAATTTCTGGAAATTAAAGTACGGTACAAATGGGATGATTTGATCATCCTCTGTTTAATAGGAGCAGTGCAGCGAACAATTGCGTGGTCGACCTCAGAAATTTATCCATGGTAACCAGTCACAGGAGAGAAAAATAGACAGCCTGCCACCAACTTGGTATTAAAGTTCTATTTTCCGTTTTTTCCACGGTTGTGGGCCAGTCAGGGACTTTCCATGAGCAGTCAGCAGAGCAGAAATCCCCTTCTGCTCCCTAGCAGACACTGCTGCTGGGCAAGGAAAGGTCTGATGCTGGTTTTGTACTGGTTTTGGCTTTAGTGGGTTTTGGTTACAGTTTGCAGTGGGATCAGGCTGGAGCAGACCCTCCCTGCCAAATGCATCCTGCTGGGCCAGGACTATCAATAGAATGGTTTGGGTTGGGAGGGACCCTAAAGATGATCCAGTTTCACCCTCTGCCATGGGCAGGGACACCTTTCACTACACCAAGTTGCTCCAAGCCCTGTCCACCCTGTGTGAGGCATGCTTGTGGTGGAGTGTGGTGGAGGAACCTCACCTTTGGCTTCATCATCTCTACAAGGTGCTGGGTGTTAAATCCTCTATGAGATTTGGGGTCTGTGCAAGCCCTGCATGATCCCTGTGGCTTTGGGCGGGTTTTGCAAGAGCCCAGAGGAAGGACAGAAAGGCTCTGGCAGGCTGGAGTTCATCCAGAAATAAATAAACCAGAAATACTGGGCCTTCGGGCTCGATGGTCTGTTCCTCAAAAGACAATTTTGGAAGGGATCACTGTGCTTTTGTTCTTCCATTAGGCAGCTGAGGAGAGAGCATTGTTTTCCTCCCCTCATCCGTTCCCCTTTTAGGGAAAGAAGGAGGACTTGGCCGCTGCGAGCCAAGCATCTCGGGGGACCTCCCAAAACAAAGGGCTGCGTGGAGGAGTCATCCTGTCCCCGTCGTCATCCTCTCCCCTGCCTTCACCCTGCACTTGGCACGGCCGTACCCGCCCGGGGCTGTCGTGCCGCGCGTCACTGCCAGCCGGGCAGGGAGCTCCGAGGGGTGTTCCTCGCCCTCCTCCCTGGAAATGCAGATAACTCCTCTTATCTCCAGGTTTATCGCTTCCCGTAGACTTGGCAGGGCAACCCTGGGCTTTGTCTTGTGCCAGGAAGGTGTCTGAGCTCCGGGATGGTGTTGGCGGCGTAACGCGTCCAGGTGTGGTGTCTTGGATAACTCAGTGCTCCCAAGGAATGTCGCTGAGGTGTTCCTGGATGTGGGTTGAAGCTCCATGGGCACATCCATCCCGGTGTAATTTTTCTCCTGTGTGCTGAAGGCATCCATCCTGGATCTGCAGAGGATTCTCTATGGGTTGGAGAGCCTCTCCTCAGCCATGGTCTGTGTGACCCTTGAGTTAGTTCCCTCTACAGGACGATGGGGCTGGCACGTGGAGCTGGAATGTTTTTGGTGTTGTTTTTTTTAAATTATAGGTTGTGTAGGGTTTTTTTGATAAATACTGGACTAAGACCAATTTATCTCGTTTTGCCCAGGCTCCAAGACTGACCCTGCTGAGAGCCCCTGAGATATTGAACTCTATGAGCGGAGACCACTTGACTGCACTCAGCACCTTTCAGGACCAGGCCCTAGGTAATTATTCTAATTCTCTGCCTGGATGATGGGTGAAATTTGATGTTCTGGGTTATGCAGACTGTCTGAAATTACATTTCTAGTTGTTCATCCCATGAATCTGTGGATTTTTTTTTTCCTACTGAAGGTTGTCACTCTAGATTAGTATCTTGACACTACAATAACACCACTGATCCCTCAGAAATAAAAGAGTACATCTGCTTTGTTTCCAGAGGAGGAGTCAGAATGGTTTGGGTTGGAAGGGAATTTAAAGGCCATCTAGTCCAACCCCCCTGCCATAGGCAGGGAGACACCTTCCACTGGACCAGGTTGCTCCAAGCCCCATCCAACCTGACTCGAATGTTTCCAGGGATGGCGCATCCACCATGTTTCTGGGAAACCAGAACTGCTGGATCACCATTCTGGTAATGGTCCCCAGCTCTTCTGCTTGGAAAGTTCTCCTGAACGTAACTCGCAGAAAGCTGTAAAAGCAAAGAAACAGGCACAACAAAAAGTTTTCACTCCCATCAGGAGCAACCAAAGGCTTGCAACAGCAATATTCATCGGCAAGGATGCTTGTTCAGGTCAGACTTCTAAGAAGTGCTCAAAACCTACAGGTTCAGGAGCCTGCTTTTGAAAATAAATCCAGCATCCATTTTCTGCAGAAAAATAAGTTGTGAAAATGTTGCTTATCTTGGTTTACAGTAGCTGCATTCTCTCCTCCAAAGCTGGCATCACTGTTGTGCCTTTGAGAAGCTTTCAGTCTTTGCTCCAAGGATGGGTGGAAATCAAAGAACCCAGGGCCAAACACTGTTCTGCTCTGCATCCCTGTGGAGGTGCAGTGTCAGCCTGGTGCTTCCCATGAGGCTCAAGGGCAGGATTTGACCCAGGATTCGCTTTTTCTATCCCAGTGAGACCCACTCAAAACTCAGAGCATGAGCTTGAGAGGCGAGGATCTCAGGGGTGAGTTTCAAGAGGAGTAAGGAGGAAGCCAGCAGGATGCTGTGGAGGTTACTCTGCAGCACTAAGGGTGAAGGATTTCCTGTAGGGTTGGTTTCCTGAGCGCATTGATATTCCATATGAAATTCTCTATGCCAATAAAAGTATCAGTCAGCAGAGGGTTATAATTTTTAACCCCATCTGCTGAGTTCCTCCCCCCCCAGTTAATAAAAACCAGCTTTGCACTGATTTCAGCAGAGGTTAAAGCCCAGCTCCCAAGACCAGGATGGCATGAGGGCAGATGGTGTGTCACTGGCTGCTCTCCCAGAGCATCCTCTCTCCGTGTGGGAACAGAGGGCTTTTCTCCATCCCTTGCAGCTCTGTGTGGTGACATTTCAGGATCCAGGCCTGAGGACTTTGACTGGGTTGTTTCCTGTTTTGACAATCTCCATTTCAAATACTCTATACACAGCATTGTGCAGGGAATTAAAACAAACCACAACCTGTATCCTTCTCTTGAATATTGTGGTGGGGAGCTATGCTCAGGTTTCCAATGGGGAGGGAGAAGACATGGATGGTGAAACAGGCTCAGAAAGTGAAGGAGAGGAAAATGAAGAATGAGAAACAAGAAATATGTTCACCCTCAGGGCTGCAGTGTGATACTTCTCCCCATCCACTCAGTATTTGTAGGGATGGGGTGCTTCCTCAGTGCTGAAACTCATATGCTTTGTGTTTAAACTGCTGCTGTCAAAGCTTGGAGAGTAACTAAAACAAAAAGGTCTCAGGTCAAGTGGATGTTTTCCAATTGACCGGAGTGCAATATAAATCCTGGGGAAGGAAATAACCCAACAAACATCCACCAGTCCTGTGTCTGCATCCCCTGTTCCAGCGCTGGCTGCTGGTGGCAGGTCCTACAAGGACGTGCAATCCCATGGCAGAGCCAGGCAGGCTCAGCATCCTGAAACATTCTTCAGGCAGCATCTCCTTTCACAGTATATATATTTTAGCACAAATTTAACAGCATCAGATCCAGGTTTGATCTAGGTCAGCGATTAGGAGGATCAAGAGGTTGCTTCAGGTGAGTGTGGTGGGAGAGAAAACGCCTGCCTGTTGAGGACCTTGGGGTTGAAGCTCATCCTGAACCCCCTGCAACGCATCTTCAGCTGAAGGCTGATGTTTGCAGACTCAGGGGATCTGGGCAGGTGGCACTCACGGGGAGCACCAAAGCAAACGTGAAACGTGTCTCTGCCGCCGCTTTGCGTCGTCCCTCGCACAGTCCCCCACGAGGTTTTGGTGTGGCCAAGTGCTCTTCGAGACGTGTTGTAACCTGAAGATAGGGATTAGATAAAGGCAAAGTGTTCCGGGAGCTTTGCCAAGCCAAAGGCACTGAATTATTGAGAGATCCGTGTCTCGATAACGGATTTATGCTCTATAACAACTTCTAAGAGAAAATATGGTGTTTGCAGGGGCAGATTGGGATAGTCCTAAGGAATGGAGCTCTCCTTTTTGAATTGCATTGCTTTTATTATTATTATTATTATTTTAATAATAATAATAATATTTCTGCAGTGAAGCCATATATGAGAATATTATTTGTGTAGGAACTGGAAATGAATCTGAAATGATCAGCGTATTTTTTAAAGGCACTTTACAAGTCACTTGGCATTGGAAAAGGTACAACTATCCATCAAAGCAAGGCTTGGGGATAAAATAATTAGAAATCACACAACCATAGCAAAGGAAGATTAGTGCTAAAATTAGAAGCCATAAAGTTGTTTTTAGATTAGGCTGGAATCTGGGCAGGCTGCTTTATTGTACTGTGTTACTTTAAAAAACTGCAAGGTGAGAGGTGTGAATTGTCTGCATTTGGTTGTGTTGCAATGGAAATGCTGTTGTGAGTGTTGGGTGGGATGATATGTGAGACGATTTTCAGGGAAATCCTTGGGGGATGGAAGTACAATCCCTTGTGAAAGACGACCAACTGCTAAAGGAGCTGCTTTTGGTGCTGAGCTCTTCTCCCGAAGGATACCCATAAGGTTGGTTTGTTCCTGGTTTTGTTTTGGGGTTCTAGTGGCCAGACACCCATGCTGCATCCAGAAGAAGGTGGTGGGATGGCTGGATGAGGAAGGGTCTGCACCTTGGTCACAGGTGTGAGCTGGGGCTGCTGTGGTTCCCAGACTTGAGCTGGATACTCAGATGGGCATAGCCCATGGAGCTTCATCACTTCATTTGTCTGCTGGAAGTGCTTGTTGGTGAACAGGAATGAATCCTCTATCAGAGGCAAACACAGAAATGATCAGTGGACAGGCTGGGAGAGCTGGGGCTGTTCAGCCTGGAGAAGAGAAGGCTCTGGGGAGACTTTAGAGCCCCTTCCAGTGCTTAAAGGGCCTCCAAGAGAGCTGGAGAGGGACTTTGGAGCAACAGAACACAGGGAAATGGTTTTGCACCAAGAGGGGAGATTCAGAAAAGGTAGAAGTAACAAATTGTGAGTGATGAGACGCTGGCACAGGTTGCCCCCAGAGGTGTATGTTCCATGTATAAATGCCTTCAGGAAAAAGTGTCTTGATACTAGGAGACCTTCTGATGTAGCTGGAAAGGCATAACATGAGCAAAAAATTGGAGGACAAGGTCAGGCACATCCACGTGTTTTCACCGTGGAGGATGCCAAGTAGAGGTCCCTGTCACCCACAGGAAGGTGACTTCTTCAGTGCTGGTGCCTTTAAATGGGGAGTGGGGGATTCCTGGGAGAGAAACCCGAACTCTGTGGGATGTGCTGCCTAAACGTGGGCACGATGAGGTGGAGCCCTTCACCTGGTCCCACCAGAGGCACCAAATGAGGGGGTCTCAGGTTCCCCGCTGGCCAGGAGGCACCAGCGCCCCTGCGACCACCCGCAGCATCTCGTTGGCACGTGAGTTTCCCGGTGCCTGCCGGGGGGAAAGTGGAGTTGAGCATACTGCCTGCTCCCCCCAGGATGCTCCCCGCTGTGCCTCCAGCTCAGTGAAAGCAGGGCAACTCCTCGCCGACTCTTTGTAGCCCGAGAACAGAGCGCTGGAAAAGTCCGGCAGGCAGCGGGAACTTTACTAATTCCGACTAATGACTCCAAAATACTGACTGAGGGGAACAATTGCACATCATCAAAAGGCGCAGACAAAAGAAAAGCACTGCATTGTGATAGCAAACGGAGCTGAATTTGGTCTGATGGAGCACCTTTCATATTCCAAGCATTTCAAAGCCCTTTGCAGAGTAATGAGCTGCATGCTGACAGCAGGCCCCGTGGACCAGGCTTTATGTGCCCAACAATAGCTGGCACAGTTGTTGGCAGAGGACCTGCTCGTGGTGGGAGAGGGGATGGTGGCAGGGATGCTGGGGTTATCCTGCACTTTCCTGATTTTTTTTTCAGTGCTGTTGGATGTCTAGCTGGCATTTGGATGGGCACTGGAGGTGATAGGGCAAGACTTGTTGGTCTTTCAATACTTAAAGGGGGCTTAGAAGAAAGATATAGACAGACTTTTTTAGTAGGGTCTGCAGTGATAGGACAAGGGGTGACGGTTTTCAATTAAAAGGAGGGAGATTCAAAGTAGGTATGATGAAGAAATTCTTTATGATAAGGGTGGTGAGGCACTGGCATGGAAAAGCTGTGGCTGCCCCATCCCTGGAAGTGTCCAAGGCCAGGTTGGATGGAGCTTGGAGCAACCTGGGATAGTGGAAGGTGTCCCTGCCCATGGCAGGGGCTTGAAACTAGATAATCTTTAGTCCCTTCCAACACAAACCATTTTAGGATTCTGTTAAGCAGGGGTGGACAAACATGCTCTGACACATATGAGAATCCCTTGGCACAGCTGAGAGTAGACCTCAGTCTTCCAGGTCACCATCTGGTCCTCTAATCTTGTGGTCCCCGTGACAGTTTCATGAAGGCCCACGCACAACTTCAGCTCTTTAATTTTAGCTGAGCCAGAATAGCATTGGTGCAGCTGTGGGAACAGATATCTTAGTCCTGAAACTATTTCTGTGGCAGGAAAGCTTCTTGTCCCTTGCGAGGAGAGGAAAAGGTTAATTTCATATTTTTTTTTCCTTTTTTCTT